GAGGTGGGTACAGAGACAGGCTGATCACTAGACCAGCCTAGCCAGTCAGAGAGTCGGGGTTCAGTGGAGAGCAGTAGAGGAAGACACATGATCGTGGCTTCTCGTCTCCTAACACACACGCACGCACGCACGCACACACGAACGCAAGCCTGTTTACTGTAGACCTCTGTCTTTTCAGCTTGATCTTGGTTCTAGCTAACATATTTGCGCATCTGTCTCTGTCTCTCCCTCCTCACCGTAGCCAGGCTGACCTTGAACTAGTAATCCTCCTGTCTCCCCCAGGTCCTGAGTGTTGGGATCTCAGGCATATGCCAGCATGCCTAGCTGAGACTTCCTCTCCAGCTATCCCCGTGAGTGTAGGAAAAAAAGCCTTTTAGAGAGCCAATCAGAAGCATCTCGATAATCAATGATAACAACATAATTTGAAAAGAATACAGCATCTGAGACCATGAAAAGTATTGTTAGCTCTTTGTGACAGTCCTCTGATAGGAGTGTGACAACTGTTAATCCGGCTGAGAGCAAGGATGTAAACTATGCATACAAGTGAAAACAGCTTTGTGCTATAAAGAATACTCTGCAGTGTAAGCAAGAATAACAGCGGTGTGTGGGAATGGTCAGACGGATAAAGGAGACAACCTAGCAGTAAGGAGTTTTCGCTAAGATTAGGGGAAAGACACTGCCTGGTGACAGTGTCTCGTTCACTCAGCATTGTAAAAAGAGCGGCGCTGAGGGGAGAGTTTGTTCAAAAGCAGTAATTTTCCCACTCTTACAGTTTGTTGGCTTAGCGTTGTACTACGCTTAGAGTAGAAATAACCACAGTAGTTCGAGTGCTGACTCTGCACCTGGTGCAGCTTAAAAGAGTTTTAATAAGCCGGGCGTTGGTGGCGCACGCCTTTAATCCCAGCACTTGGGAGGCAGAGACAGGCGGATCTTTGTGAGTTCAAGACCAGCCTGGTCTACAAGAGCTAGTTCCAGGACAGCCTCCAAAGCCACAGATTTCTGTCTCGAAAAACCAAAAAAAAAAAAAAAGAGTTTTAATAATCAGAACAATCTTTTATTTTATTTTTTTCCAGACAGGGTTTCTCTGCAGATCTATTGGTCTGTCCTGGAACTCGCTCTGTAGGCCAGGCTGGTCTCGAACTCACAGAGTTCCGCCTGCCTCTGCCTCCCGAGTACTGGGACTAAAGGCGTGCACCACCAACGCCCAGCAATCAGAACAATCTTATTCGATGAGTACTTTGTAGCTTCAGCAAGTCAAGCTTAGAGAAATGAAATGACTTACTGTAACCGTGCAACCTCACCGTATGAAGTTACCCAGGTGACTGGGAGCATTCTTGTACATACTGCTTCCCCAACTTGTGCTGTCTCCCAGAATTCCCCCAGACGTTCATTTAGGCTTGAGTCAGAGAGGACTTTGCACATAAACAAAGGTATACTTTGTTTCTTTAAAAGCAGTTGTCTTCGGATACGAAGGAAAAAGCTGCGGTGGTGAGTGAGGAAGAGCCGCTCCTGAGAAAGAGTTCCCGCCGCTTCGTCATCTTCCCAATCCAGTACCCCGACATCTGGAAGATGTATAAACAAGCCCAGGCGTCCTTCTGGACCGCAGAAGAGGTATGTCACCCGCCCTGGCACTCGTGGCCGTAGTAAGCGGAACTGTTGATGAACTTAAGTGGAACGTAATTAGATTAGGGTCTGTAAATACGTTCTTGCTTTTGTTTCTGAGACAAGGTCTCTCTTTTACCTGTGCCTCATATATTGTGGACCATTTTCCATTCTTTAAGACTATTCGTTTTTAGTCTACGTGTGTGAGTGTTTGCCTGCACGTGTGCGTGCACACCACGTGTGTGGTTACTGGTGCCCTCGGAGGCCAGCGGGGACTTTGGAGTCACAAGTGGGTATGAACTGTCATGTGAGTGCTGAGAACCCAACCAGAGTCCCTCGCAGTGGCGGTGGCCAGTGCTCTTAGCCAGTGAGCGGTCCCTGCAGGCAGCCCACCCAACTGTTTGTCTTTAAATAGATTCTTAGTCGGCTAGGACTGAGTAAGACCCGTCCTGGGTTTTTGTTTGTTTGCTTTTATAGTTACTCATTTATTTATGTGTGCACGAGCTTGTGGGAATTGAACTGATGGCAGCAAACACCCTTGCCCGCTGAACCATTTCGCCAGTCCTAACACTTTAAACTTCTGGTCAGCAGAACAAACAGAATTGCAGCTGCAGTTTAAAAAAAAAATGAAGCAAGAGCCAGGCAATGGTGGCTCACACCCTTCACCCCAGTGCTCAGGAGGCAGAGGCAGGCAAATCCCCAAGTTCAAGGCCAGCCTGGTCTACAGGGTGAGTTCCAGGACAGCCAGGGCTACACAGAGAAACACTGTCGCAGAAAAACAGGCAGCAACAACGCAAACAGAACAGTGGAAGCCCTAAGGGCCCTGCAGTAGCTTGAGAGGCGGATCTGGCAGAGCAAAGCCGCAGTGTGTGAACAGCTTCACCGCCCTGCTGAATTCACAGTCTGGCTCTGCCTTCAGCCGCCCCAAACCTCAGCAGCAAGGCAGCCTCTGGTTCCTCACTGTCAGCCTAACCTTCCACCTTCAAAGAGAGTTCAGCACCTGCTGGCTTATTGAGAACAAGGAGTCATGCAAATGGCTGCTGTCTAGAGTAACTAAACACACAAACAGTTTTGGTCTTTACTATTTAATCATCCCTTACTGTTTATGATAGCCACACAATACCCTACTCTGTATATGTGCCCATAAATACCTCTCTGTCTGGATAGCTGTGTCTGTGTGAATGAGTGTCTTTAGATCTGTATGCCCCACGGCCAAGAGACCAAATCCAGGCTAGCAACATGGCTCATTGGACAGAAGCTCTTTCTGAACAAGCCTGATGGCCCCCGTTTGGTTCCTGGAACCCGCAGTGGAAGGAGTGGGCTATCTCCTGAATTTTCCTCTCATCTCTACACTCGCCTTATAGCACACACACGATCTCTTCGCCCGTCCCTGTCTCTGTCTCTGTCTCTGTCTCTGTCACTGTCTCTGTCTCTCTGTCTCTTTGTCTCTCTCTCTCTCTCTCTCATAGACACACACACACACACACACACACACACAAAATAAATGGTTTTGGAAACAGACCAGACGAATCTATGGAAACAACACCCTGTGAAGAATACAGGGCCGAGGCCAGGCTGCCTCAGTGCTGACCCCACTCTGTGCAAGCAGCTTCCCCTTTCCCTGCGTCCTCGCTGCTAAGACAGGCTAATAGCATGTGACACATTGGCTCGGGAGATGTTTAGAGACACCAGTGTCTGCGACCGCTTCTACACTCCTCAGACATTTACATATCTTTGTTATACCGTCAGCATTGCTATGTAGTGCGGTTGGCGTACAGAGCAAAACACCCAACTGAAGCAAACCCCCGGTGTTTTTTTAGTAAGTCACCTGGCTTCCTGCCTGTCTGTGGCTTTAGATAGCTTTCGTGAGTATGGTTCAGAGGACAAGTAGAGCACAGTTGGTCCTTTTGTTTGTCACGCCTGAAAACGGGCTTGTCATATTTGGGTTTCTAAAAGTTCATTGGAAATTAATTGCTTCTCTTAGAAACTGTAATAAATGTCTATGACCAAAAAAAAATACTGATTTAAAAAATCAGAACACATAGGTTGATAAGGATTTTGCAGGAAGGTTCACATACATGTTTTGAAAGGAAGTCAAGGATATTTTTAGTCCCATGTATCAAACAAATGATGTAAAAAGGTTAGTTAACTTTACACTCTGGTTTTTAAATCAATGGTCGAATTTAATTCCCAAATATTAGGCCCTGACTCAGAAAACAAAGCTTGGAAATTTTCTAGAACCCAGTCAGGCAATTCTGATAATCAGTTTTCTGTTACTATGACAAAAGAAAATCAAGTGATATTGTAACTGTGCTGCCGCAGGGAGCCAACCAAGCCTTTGCTTTGACACACGGGCCTCTCGGGAACGGTGAGGGTCTGACACTGTGGCAGGGATCCATATTTAGATGCTGAAATTCAGGATGAGCTCATATGGGGTAAAACTGGACAGGACATTTGATGTTTCTAGAAGGAAATATAACCGTTATCATTTAACAATATAAATAAAAGTTACAGCATTTTAAAGCTTGGCGTTTAAAGAGGCAAATTTAATTTTTAAGACTAGGCCTTTTGCAGTATTAAATTCAATATCAGGAATAGAGTGTTTGGAGACAAGAAAGGCACCCCTGAGTTAACCTGAGTTGAGTTAATAATAAAAGGGAACTTGGCAATTGCTGATGTTTTATAAAGTGAAGACAACTATTTCCCTTCCTCATCCTATTGTATGTTTCTGAACTTAGTCTAGAGTCTGGCATGCATTGAGTGCTCACAGATACTTAGAGTATAGCAGGAAAAGAGTTTTAGGAAAGGATACGGTGATTAAGATTAGAATATTAGTCTTTTTTTTTTGAAAGGTCAAGGAGATTGAAACTGTTAGAATAATTAAGAGAAAAGCAAGACCAGCAGAGTTTCACAAAGGACAGCTATATATACAAATGTCTATCACATTGTCATGAAACAAATCTAGAGGTTTTTTGTTGTTGTTTTCTTTTTTGGGGGGGGTTAAGACAGGGTTTCTCTATGGCTTTGGAGGTTGTCCTGGAACTAGCTCTTGTAGACCAGGCTGGCCTCAAACCCACAGAGATCCACCTGCCTCTGCCTCCTGAGTGCTGGGATTGAAGGCGTGCACCACCACCATCACCTGGCAAATTTAGAGATTTTTATAAGACAGTATTAGAGCTATACATTAAGAGTTCCGTCTTCCCCCAGCTTGTAAGTTGAGCCGTCGCTCTCCAGTGTGGTGGCATTTGGGGGTGGGGCAATGGGAGGTAATTGGGCTTTGAGGATATGAGGGTGGGGTCTCATGAGTGGGATTAATGCCTTTATAAAGAGAAGTATGAGAAGAGAGCTTTCTCTCTGCCCTTCGAGCATAAGGGAAGAAGGTGCCCATCTATCTAAGTAGCTTCCTCAGAAAGTTCGCCATGGGGCGGGAGGGAGACTCAGGAGTCAACAGCATGGGCCGCTCTTCCAGAGGACTCAAGTTTTACTCCCAGGACCCGCATGGTGGCTCAGGGTTATCTGTAGCTCCAGCTCCGGGGAATCTAACACTCTCTTCTGTGGACACCCAGCGTGTACGCAGTACACAGACACACATGCAGACAGAACGTCCATACACATGAGAAAACCCACAAAACCCAGCCATACTGCTACCCCAGTCCTGCCTTTGACTGGGTTTCCATTGCTGTGACAAAACACCATGAGCAAAAAGCGCCTTAGGGAGGAAAGGGTTTATTTCACCTCACAGCCCGTAGCCCATCACCCTGGGAAGTCAGGGTAGGCACTCAAGACCCCTGGCTGCTTGCTGGGTTGCTCTGTATGCTGCCAAGGCTGCTTTTTAAAAAAAATTTCTTTTTATTTTATTTTATTTTCCAGTTTAAATTTAGATAAGAAACAAGGTTGCTTCACAAGTCAGTTACCTCCCCTCCTCCCGTGTCCTCCCCCCAACCCCCCCCAAGGCTGCTTTCTTAGAGCGCATAGGACCATGAGCCTAGGGATGGAACTCCCTCTAGAGAGCTGGGCCTCCAAAGTTCCATAGTCTTTATGAATTCAAGCATTCTAAAGGTTCAGTCACTTTAAAATATCCAAAGTCTCTAAAATATCCACAGTTTCTCTAAAATAGCCAGATTCTCTCTGAAACCTCTCCAAAACTTTGAAATCTTCTTACCATTACGTCTCTTCTATTAAAAAAAAAGTTAAATACTTTCTTCCTCCAAGGGCACAGTCACAACCAAATCAAAGCAGGTCGAAGTTGAATGGAGTAAAAGGTTCAGTGTTGGTCATCTGGAATTCACTCACGATGTCAGGCTCCCACAGAGAGCTCAGGCTGCCTCTGCTCCACCGTCCACCACGCACAGACCTGTCTCCTTGCTTGCTCTCCTGTCCTTGGTAGTTGTACTGGTACTGGCATCAAAGCACGGGGCTTGTTGCTGTCCCGGGGCTGCACCTTCTCCGGCAGACCTTTTCTGGGTTCTCTTGAAACCAGGTGGTGCCAGGCTCCATTTCTTCGCGTGACCAAGCCTTCATCCTGGGACTTCAGCTGTAACTGAGGCCGCACCTTCATTGATGGCAGCGCCTGGCCTTTCGCGGGACTCTAGCCCGCCACCCAGTGCCAAGCTTCAGCTACCCCGCCTGCCTTCAAAACCAGCACCTCCTGGGTGACTTGTATACGACCTAGTTTGGCTGCCGGTGTGGGTCCCAGCTGCTGTGTGCTGATGCCACAGGGACATTTAAAGACATAGGGTCCTCTGACTCTGGTCTCCTCTTAATCACTGCTAGTTTCTCACCCCAGCTGACCAGCGTCAATTGTCCCAGTAAAGCCAAGGTTTCCTTCAGGTCTCTTGTTAATCGCAGCTGACTTCATCCCCAGCTGATCAGAACCACAGGTTCTGGATTGAGAACAGCAACGTACAGTGCCCCCCCCCCCCCCGAGTCTTTAAGGGATGCTCGCACTTACTCTGCAACTTCACACGCCAGGCCTCCATCATCTGTGTCATGCTCAATTGAGCCTCTTCCAAAAGACTCTGTCTGTGTCAGCTGGACATAAACTTAGCTACCACGTGCCCAGATCTTGGACTTGCGTTTCCCGAACTTTGAAAAGTAAATGTTTGTTTTTAAGCCATCCGGTCTATGGTGACTTATTATAGCAGCAAGAGCCAGCTAACACAGTTGTACATTGAAGGAGCACTTGAAAAGTTTGGATCACTCTCTTAGTTCCCAAGAATAATTTTAATAAGCATTTTCAAAGGTATTTATATTCTAAAAGTCTGACTTAAGGTTCTTTTTGTGAAGAGAGATACTATGACCACGGCAACTCTTATGGGGGCCTGCCACCCAGCTCCCAAATAAATCCACGGAGACTTATTCTTATGAATGCCCGGCCTTAGCCTTAGCCTGGCTGGTTTCTAGCCAGCTTTGCTAACTTAAATTATCCTGTTTCTCTTCCTCTATGTTTGACCGCAGCAACTCTTATAAAGGAAAACACTTAGCTGGGGCCGGCTTACAGTCAGAGGTTCAGTCCATTGTCATCATGGTGGGACAGGGCAGTGTGCAGACAGACATGGTGGAGAAGGAGCTGAGAGTCCTACATGTTAACCTACAGGCAACAGGAAGTGAACTGCCTGCCACACCGGGTGTAGCTTGAGCATATAAGAGCTCAGAGCCCGCCCCACAGTGATACACTTCCTCCAAAAAGGTCACACGTTCTAGTTCTAATAGTGCCACTCCCTCTGGGCCAAGCATTCAAACACAAGTCTATGGGGGCCGTACCTGTAAGCTGCTTTAAAACCCAGGTTGTTATCTTCCTGGCACGATGACTTCTTAGCCTTGAAGAATAGCCGGCAGTAGCACAGAGGCTGTTAATTCGTTAGCAGGTACTGAATCTATTACTATAGTAACTACTGTATAAAACAAATGACTGCTAAGGCATTAGTCTACTTTATATACTTAAGTAGTTTTGACTTTCCTTCACAAACACCCTCCCCTTCTCTCCTTGTTCCCCTCCCTCTCCTTCTTTCTCCCCCTTCCCGCCTCCTTGAACATGCTAGGATTGTCTTGTTTGTTTAAACAAAGTTTTCTGGATATGTTTAAGGTATGGATAGATCATAGTGTTGTAAAATGTGTGCACACACACACACTTTCACACATGTGTATAAACTTTCTCTCACTAACAAATAAACGTATGTACTGCTTCATGTACTAACCTACTTCTCCGTGTGGCAAGAGCGGTTATAATTACTAACTAGGTAAATGTTTTGAGTACATCACATTACTATTAGCACAATGTTTATCTTATTCTGATATTTTAAATGTTTTATTTTTCTTTCTGGTGTAGCTTTTCTTAACTTTAAAGTGAGAGTTTTCCAAACTCTTCAAGAGGAAAACAGTTGGAGTGTTTTCTCCCCCCCCCCCAGGTTGACTTATCCAAGGACCTCCCTCACTGGAACAAGCTTAAATCAGATGAGAAGTATTTTATCTCCCACGTGTTAGCCTTCTTCGCAGCCAGTGATGGCATTGTCAATGAAAACTTGGTAAGATTTTTATTTTACAGTTGTTCCTGAATGGCGTTGTTAATGAGATCCCTGTAGATCCTGCTGAGGAAAGATGTATGAATAACAGACTAGATGAAGCTTAACTTCTGTGTGAGTGTGTGTGCGTGTACAGGCAGGGGCCAGAGAAGGATGCCGGTTATCTTCCTCTGTGGCTCTCTGCCGTACCCCTTGAGAGAAAGTCTCTTCACTGAACGCAGAGCTCATCATTATTTGGCTAAGTTGACTGTCCAGGTAGCCTCAGGGAGCCCCCTGTCTCTGACACCTCAGCACTGGGGTTACAGGCTCACAGAAGCATGCTAGGGAATCTAGACCCAGTACTCATGCCAGTGTAGCAAGCATTCTTACCCAGGAAAGGTGTCTCCCCAGACACCAAAGTTTAATTTTTCACTGTATTTTTCTCATGATGTTTCAGAGGAAAAGATAGTTAACTGTCAACTGACTCGCAATATATTATGGAATCAATCGTACATTATACCAATGAAAACTACACACAGTGTGGAGCTGGAGGTGTCCCTGACTCTACAACGCTTGGCTCATCATTATAGAGGCCCTGAGTTTTAGCCTCAGCAACGTGAAAACAAAATCCAAAATTGCACAGAATTCGTAAATTTGATTTTTCCCCCTCCAATAACAAACTTAATAGAGAATGTGCCCTTAATAGCTGTCTGTAGCTCCGTTGGATCCCTAGATCAGCCCTTCATATAGAAATCATGTTATGGTCAGTCAGGAAGAATAAGTTTTTGTTAAGGAGAGTGGAGGGAGGCACCTCCAGAGTGAACCAGAAGAACTTTAGCGGGTCTGTCTACTATGAGGAGAAAGCTCCACGAGGCAGGAAGCACTGCTTTTGATACATATTCTAAAATTTACTGTTCAGCAGGCAGGGTTTCTACCTGAAAGATAAATTCGCCCCATTGCTTAGGGGCACATTCCATGGCGTTGTGTGCATAGCTCAGTGGGCACCTGCCTGGCATAAGTAAAGTACTGGGGTCAGTCTCCAGCACTTAGGTTAGCTGGCTAAACACTGAGAGTCTACTCTAAAAGACCCATAAAGACCGAGGATGGCGTGCTCGCCCAGCATGAGTAAATGCTTGGTTCACCCTCAGAGCCACAAAACAAGAAAAGAAAGAAAAGATTGGTAAGGTTTTTGTGTCCTATTTCTTGTATAACTGTCACCTTTCCCCCCAAAAAATTGTATTAAGTTTTGCTTATTTGTGTGCGTGTGTGTGTGTGTGTGTGTGTGTGTGTGTGTGTGTGTGTGTGTGTGGGTGTGGGTGTGGGTGTATTAGTCGTATTAGTCATGGTGTCTGTGAGTCATAGTGTGTGTGAGTCATGGTGTGTGTGTGGAAATCAGAGGACAACTTGGAGGAGTCAGCTCTTTTTCCTTCCACCGTGAGGTTCCAGGAACAGAACTCTGGTCATTAGGTTTGACAACAAGCGGCTTTAACCCGCTGATTCTTCTCATTGATCACTTTTTTTTTTTTTTGAGACAGTGTCTTGCCATGTTTCCCAGGTTGGTCTTGAAATCAGTGTCCTCCCATCCAGCTTCCTGAGTGTTGGGAAAGACAAAAGATTTTTAAGTGAGAATGCTGATGTCATGCTATACGGTGTGTGAGGAGGGTCCTGTGGGGTCTGCTCACCAGAACTTTCTGTCCTCCTTGTTTCTGTAGGTGGAGCGTTTCAGTCAGGAGGTACAGGTCCCAGAGGCTCGATGTTTCTATGGCTTCCAAATTCTCATCGAAAACGTTCACTCGGAGATGTACAGTTTACTAATAGATACTTATATCAGAGATCCAAAGAAAAGGTATTATTGGGGGGTTGTTTATGAGGGTTTAGCTCTTTGCTTATATTAAAAGTGGAATTTATTCCAAAACTACAGTGTCAAAGATTATTCACATGTGGAACTTCATGAGTATAGTTTTCTATTGCTCAGTAATGCGTTAAAGGCCTGCCATAGAACCAGGCAGTCTTTAGATGATTAATGCCATCTCAAAGCCTCGTTTGTATTTATAAATTGAATATTTGCATCTCATTGATTTTTAGATCAGCTTATATCCAACTCATTAATCTGAGTTTTACTTTTATTTCTATATTCATAATTATGAACATGTGAAGATATAGAAAAACTAGATTTGGTAGTATACTATTTTATCTTTGATCATTAAAACTTAGTCCAATTAGTAGAAACAAATGAATACCATGATGTTTTTTTGTTCTTATAGGGAATTTTTGTTCAACGCAATCGAAACAATGCCATACGTTAAGAAAAAAGCCGACTGGGCTCTGCGCTGGATAGCAGACAGACAGTCTACTTTTGGTATGTGGCGTTAACTTGTATGCCTTCATGCACTGCACTGTGGACTCAGCTTTTCTTAAAATTGCCCTAGTTTCCCCCTCTAAACCAATTGCACCAACTGCGAGGCGTTTGCCTTGGTTACAGGCTTTAGAATAAATGTCCTGCTTGTCTTCTTACTTCACAAAAGCTTATGAAATGCATCTTACAGTCTTTGCATGAGTGTGTGTTCATGTGTGGGTGTGTATGTGCTTGTACGCGTGCAGGCACGTGTGTGCATGTGCCTGGGGCCCAGAAGCTGGTGTGTCTCCTGAATGATTTCTCCTCCGTCCCTGCTCTCCTTCTTTTTTCAATTCTTTTGTGCACATGTGTGTGCGTGCGTGTGTGTGTGTGTGTGTACGGTATATGCATTGTATATGTGTCTGTGCACACACCTATGCATGTGTACATCCACATGTGTGAGTATGAAAGCCAGAGGTCGATGTTACACCTTTGGTATTGCTCTCCATCTTGTTTTTTAAAACATTTACTCCTTTAAGAATTTTGTGTATGTGTGTATGCCTACGTGAGTTTATGTGCACCGTGTGTGTATAGGTACCAAGAGAGGCTGCTGGGAACTGAACCTGGGTCCTCTGCAAGAGCAGTAAGCAACCTTCACGTCTGACTCAATTTTCCAGCCCCTTAATGCATTTTTAGTAATGAATATTTTCATTTATATTTTTTGGGGGGTTGTTTGTTTTTTTGTTTTTTTGAGACAGGGTTTCTCTGTATTGTTTTGTAGCCTGTCCTGGAGCTAGCTCTGTAGGCCAGGCTGGCCTTGAACTCACAGAGATCCACCTGCCTCTGCCTCCCGAGTGCTGGGATTAAAAGTGTGCGCCACCAACGCCAGCCTTATTTATCCTTGACAGCTTCATACATATATACAAAATACCTTGATCCTATAGCCCCCTAAATCTCCCTTTCACCCCTCTAGGACCCTCTTCCAACATGGTCCCTTCCCACCTTCATGTCGTCTTATTTCTTTATTTCCACCAAGCCCAGCTAGTGCTGTCCACAGAGCATGTGTGGGGAGCCTCCACAGAGCATGGACAGCCAGACACCCCAGGAAGAGCAATTGCCTCTCCCCCAGCAGCTGTCAACTGCCAGGAGGGTCTCAGCTGTTAGCATGGGGCCTCCTGAGCAACTCCTAATTTTTAATTAGCATGTGTTCATTGTGCATAATAATGGGTTTCATTATGACGTCTACACACACACACACACACACACACACACACACACACACACACACGGTACCTGACCATATTCACACGTACCTGACCATATTCACACGTTAACCTCTCTTGTCCCCACCCCCATTGCGGCTAATCCCCTTCTTTTCCTCAGTTAGCCTCCCTTCTGCTTTTTATGTCTGCGTGTGTGTGTGTGTGTGTGTGTGTGTGTGTGTGTGTGAGAGAGAGAGAGAGAGAGAGAGAGAGAGAGAGAGAGAGAGAGAGAGAGAGAGATGTGTGTGTGAGAGACAGAGAGACTTGATGAGTTTCATTAGGGAGACTTTGCTTGTAGGATCCTGGACATGTTACCAGTATCCATGCCATTGAAGGCACGGCCTCCCACTGAACCTGCAGCTCACTCACTGGGCAAATCTCCCGAGGGACCATCTTGTATCCCTTTCCCTAGTCCTGGGATTGCATGTGTGTGTGGCACTCCTGGCTTTTTACATGGCTGTGGGGCATTTAAACTCTGGTCCTCACGCTGTTTTTCCCAGCCCCTTCTTCAAATCTTCTAATTCTCTCCAAGAGTAGTCTTCTGTAGCCATTTCTTATGCTTTTCATTTTTCAGCGTTCACAGAGGTACACAGAATGGTTAAAACAGCTCTCCTCTTATGTTTAACTTTCATCCAGTTCTCTTACAGATAATTGTCCATGTGGCCTTGCCTTAATAATTACAAATGTCAGTTATTGCTGTCTGTTGAATAATTGGTTGCCAGGTAAAAGTGTCGTAAACTAACATTCAGTTAAGGATGAGATGAAGCAGGGGTTATTTTTGTGATATTTATTATATTCACTTGGAAGATTTCTATAACTCCTTTGACAATCCTCAGCACTTATTTATGGTCATTTTTTCAAAGCAGCTTTTCAAGTGGCATCTATAAACTACAAGTTTTTATCATGTTGGATTCCCGTCTGTTTCCTGTTGCTGGTCTGTTTGGTGTAAGAGAAGCAAGAAATGAACAGGGCAGACGGACTCCGTTAGAGACAGCCAGAAACACTTCAGTCGTCTTGCCTTTTGAGATTTAAGTATTTGTTCCGAAAGTTAGAAATTCTGGATTTCAGCATAAGAATTGGACATGTCTGTAGGATGGACTTAAACTTTTATTTTTTTATTTCTGTGTGTGTGCTATAATCCAAAATATCCTAGAGACGGTGCCACAACTGTGATGTCACTGGAGATACTTAGGGATGAGTTTCTGCAGAGTCCTTACCTAACAGCAAATAGACTTTTAAGTTAGCTCTTCTATCTTTAGTAGAACATTTTAGCCTATAGGTGAATTCATTGCCTTCAGCTGATTTTTAAAATTATTCTGCAGGGACAGCAATGTTTCTGAAATGTTTGCAGCTAATCTCTTAGCAACAATAGGCTGCTAACAAAAAATACAGACTTTAGCAGCTACTCCTCCCGTTAGAGGAAGATGATTGTCATAAAGTTTATCTTGTACTTCCCATGCTAGTATACACATGTGTGTACATGTATGTAATGAACTCACACACACATGTGTCTGTACTTGGAGGCACATGCTCTTTACAGGCAAACCACCTCTTTTACTTGTTTGACTGGTGTGTGGGAATCCATTCCTGTGTGTGTGTGTGTGTGTGTGTGTGTGTGTGTGTGTGTGAGAGAGAGAGAGAGAGGGTATGCATGCGTGTGTGTATGTGTGTGCGTGCGCATGCATGCGTGTTTTTATGTGTGTGTGAATCCATTCCTCTGTGTGTGTGTGTGTGTGTGAGAGAGAGGGTATGCATGCGTGTGTGTATGTGTGTGCGTGCGCATGCATGCGTGTTTTTATGTGTGTGTGAATCCATTCCTCTGTGTGTGTGTGTGTGTGTGAGAGAGAGGGTATGCATGCGTGTGTGTATGTGTGTGCGTGCGCATGCATGCGTGTTTTTATGTGTGTGTGAATCCATTCCTCTGTGTGTGTGTGTGTGTGTGTGTGTGTGTGTGTAAACATCATAAAAGCCCCGTGTGTTCGTGGACTTGCAAATGGCTGCAGGATCTGGTTAGGAAATGGAGCCGTTCTGTCTTGTAGGGGAAAGAGTGGTAGCCTTCGCTGCCGTAGAAGGCGTCTTCTTCTCGGGGTCGTTTGCCGCTATATTCTGGCTGAAGAAGAGAGGCCTCATGCCAGGACTCACTTTCTCAAACGAGCTCATCAGCAGGGACGAGGTAAGGAAGTATGCGCTCTTCCACTCTGGTCTCTGGTCATTTCTTTCTCTTTCCCCTGGGGAAAATGCAAATCGTGACACGGGCATTGGGGCAACAAGAAGGAAGTAGAAACTCTTCCTTGGGCCCGTGAGAGTTTGGTTTCCTCCCACTCCTCCCTGGTCTCTGCTTACCCTTAACTATGAACGGACTCTTAGATTCTTACCCCCCCCCCCCCGGTTCCCTTATTGGTGACTCCCTGGCTGACTATATTTGTTCCCGTGGAGTTGGCCACCATCTAAATGACTTCTCAAGCTTTATCCACGTCCCATGTGCTCTTTCCCGAGTTCCAGACTTACGTTCACGTGCATGCTGCGTGTTTTTAATTTTTTCTGGTAGCCTCCACATGGGCCTCAAAAATGAAGATTCATTATCACCGTCCAAAGGCGCACGCTGCTCGATTTCGTGTCCCTGTCACCACCCTGCCCTCCGGGAATCACTTTAAGTTGCTTCTTTCTTTCCCTGCCGCGTCCAGTCATAACTAAGTCTTGTCTCTCTCCCTGCAATGTGGTCACTTTTTCAAAAGAGGCAGCTCAACATCCCCATCCCATTAGGTGAGATTCTCTTATGAGTCACCTGCCCTTAGTAGCTCCAGCAGGCTTGCGTTTCCCCGCTGCGTTAGGCTCTGAGCTTTTCAGCATGGAGACTGCTCTCATCCCCGCTCATTGCAGTGTTTAGTCCACGAAAGCCATCCGGTTCATGTTCATCCACACCAGGGGCTCCTCAACTTCTGTCTTCCTGTGTCACCCTCTCCGGCACTTCCCTGAACCTCCGTTCCTCAGCTGTAGACTCTCGCAGGGGTTGTCAGAATGTGAGGGAACAGTACATGTCAAAAGTATTTAAGTGTCTTAAAGATTTAGTGTGTGTGTGTATGTGTGTGTGTGTGTGTGTGTATGTTTCGCCTACATGTATGTAGTGTACCGTGTGCATGCCTGGTGCCCTTAGTGTTCAGAAGAGCGTGTTGGAGCCTCTGGAACTGGAGTTACTGATGGTTGTGAGTCATCATGTGGGTGCTGGGAGCCAAAGCCGTCCCCTTTAAAGAGCTAATTCCTGTGCTAATTCACCAGCCCTGTGAAAAGTTTTTTAAAAAAAACTTTATTAGTATATATTTCATATAACATATTTTATTTTTTATAATTTATTTAAATTCATTTTATGTGCATGGGTGTGATGGTGTCAGATCCCCTAGAACTGGAGATACAGACAGTCGTAAGCTACCATGTGGGTGCTGAGAACTGAACCCAGGTCCTCCAAGCAGCCTCTTAACCACTGAGCCATCTCTCCAGCCCTGTGAAAGTATTTTTAAGTGCACAAATGCTTCACATAATTATATTCTTCTGTTTGATGTCTTTAACTTTCTTTAGACAATAAATGCCATAATTTAGCAAAAGGGTCAACAAACTCAGAGGTAATAATATTTACTTATTGCATTCCTTTATAGACTTTTCTACCTTTAAATCTCTGTTTCTCTTTCTCCAGTACCCCCTCGTGTGTAGATCATATTTTTATAATTTGTAGTTTTTATCTTATTTTTTGTCTGTTAGAGACAGGATCTCACCATGTTGTTGTTTTAACTTTGGCATAGTGGCTGCGCCTTAATCTGCTGCTACCTTAGCCAGAAATTGCAACTCTGCAGTTACCAGCCTGCTTCTCTAGGCAACTGTCACTAACGGTAGCTTTAACTAAATCTCTTTATAAATAAGACTGGAGATCCAAAGGCTGGGGTGAAAAGCTGCTGTCTCAGAGAGGCCGGGTCGCAGTTAACTAGCCTTCCCTCCTTGCTGGCTTCCCCGAAAACCCTTGCTTCTATTTCCCTAAGCCAGGAAAGGCCACACCTTCCCAAAGCCCACCCCACTACTTCCTGTGACTCTCTGTCTCTCCCAGATGCCCTCTGGTGATCTGTGATTTCTTCCTGTCACCTAGTTGCTAACTCAACCTCCTGACCCAAGGTTAGTTTTATTTAATTGATGCAAATGCAAACTTGGGGCTCACAGTATGATCGAATATCACCCAACACCATGTAGGCCAGACTGACCTTGAATTGAACATTTTCCTGCCTCCGCCTCTTGAGTGTTGGGGTTACAGGCACCCTTGGAGTCACCACACCCTTCTTTTTCCACCTGGCAAATATTGGGAACCCCCCTTTTTTTATAGTAAGCATTATTTTAAAACGGTTGGTTAGGGTTGTGACATTCTGGTGAATGAATGTATCATGTATTTCATCCTAATAAGAGACCGGTTTCTTGATTTTTGTTTAGCTTTTTTTCTTTTTGAGACACTGTTTTATAGAGTAACCCTAGCTGACCGGATACTCTCTCTGTAGATCAGGCTGGCCTTGAACTCACAAGAGATCTGCCTGCTTCTGCCTCCCGAGTGCTGGGGTTAAAAATATTCACCACCATAACAGGTTGTTTTGCCTTTTTAATAAAGTCAAACTTGGCATGTAAGTTTTGTCTTCCTAGCTTTTGAATTTTCTTAAGTTCAACCACAAAGAAGACTTAGCAGGTCCTTTAGCTCACTCCCAGGTCTCTTTCCAGGGATTTTACAGCAGTTCCCAGCCCCACTTAGCTGTGCGTGGACATTTTCTCACCTTAACCTCACCAAAGCTGAAATTAATTTGCTAAATGCTTGACAAATCTGATAGATGAGTTGACACTTCCTTATTGCATTTATTTTAACTTGTTTATTGCCAGTGCTCAGCTCTTTCTCATAATTATGTTAGTTATTCGTACATTTTCTGTAGCTGCCTCTTGTCCTTTGCCTTTATTCCAGTTTTTTAAAAATTTATATATATATATGTTTTTATTTAAATTAGAATCATTCTTGCTTCACATGTCAATCTCAGCTCCCTCTCCCACCCCTCCTCCCTTGTCCCTCCACCAACTCCCCCCAACCTCCCACCCAATCCCCACACCATTCCCCATGGAGGGTGAGGCCCTCCTTGTGGGGATCTCCAGAGTCTGTCATTTCATCCAGGGCAGGGCCTAGGACCTTCCCCATGTGTCTAGGCTGAGAGAGCATCCTTCCATGTGGAATGGGCTCCCAGAGTTCATTCGTAAGCCATGGTAAACACTGATCTACTACCCAAGACCCCAGAGATTGCGGGCCTCCTCACTGAAACTACATTTAGCTTTATTCCAGTTGTGATGTTTATATTTTTCTTGCTTAAGTACTGTTAATATGTAAGGCCATTTTATGGTATTCTATAATCCTTAAAGATTATTGGTGTATTCCTAACACACAGTAATTGATTAGCCTCTTTTATTATTATTGTTTCTGAGACAGGGTTTCTCTGTGTAGCCCTGGCTGTCCTGGAACTCACTCTTAGACCAGGCTGGTCTTGAAAACTCTGCCTCCTGAGTGCTGGGATTAAAAGAGTACACCACTATGCTTGGTTTAATTGACCTCTTTTAACATTTTTTACTGACTATATATATATATATATGTATATATATATATATATGATGACTATAACATGCAATTTCAATTTATTGTAAACATTTTCTCAAATTGTCCTTTATTTGAAAGAATGTATTGCTTGTGTGTGTGTGTGTGTGTGTGTGTGCACACGCGTGCGTGTGCGTGCCTGCCTGCCTGGGTGGCACCCCCATGGCACACATGTAGAAGTCAGAAGATACCGTGTAGGAGTTGGGTCACTCCTACCATGTTGGTTCCAGGGATTGAACTGTTTGGGCAACAGAGCCTTCACCCTCTGAGCCATCTTGCCAGCCCTTGATGACAGGGGTGTCGTGTCTCTCAGAGGATAACCTTGACTTCCCTGATCCCCTTACCTCTACCCTGACTGCTAGAGTCACAGCTGTGAGCACCACACCATTCCTGTCCTGTGCCGAGGAATAGTAAACCCCGGGACCTCGAGCGTGCTAAGCAAGAGCTCTAACTGTTTCCCATCCTCTTCCTTTTGTTTTGAGATATGGTCTTATGAAGTTGCCTGGGTTGACGCTGAACATGTTCTGTAGCCCTCCCTGGCAGGCCTTGGTCTTCTGATTCTCCTGCCTCAACGTCTCTGGTGTCTCAGATTACAAGCCTGTACTTCAGTGGCCACTGGTATGTTTTAATAATTGGTAAAAACACATCTTAGAATGTTCATTTTTAAGATGTCCTTATAAGGCTATTCCCAATTATCCTTCCAGAGTAATTTTGTATTAAAAAGTCTTCGGATTTTGATTGGAATTGCTTTAAATTGGAAGTTAATTTTATTCATTAATTGATCTGACAATTATGCTTATCTTTGATTTGCTGGTCTCTGCAGCAGTCAGCTAGCTGCCAGTTCTAATCAGCATTTAACATCTCTCATTCTGCCATTGCTCGCTAATCCATGCATTCTCCTCAGTCAGCTCTGTGGGGAGAAAATAAAATCCCAAAGATTAGCGTTCCAGAGGGTATGGGTTTTGTTTGCTTATCCAGATAGGTTTTTTTTTCCTGGCTTTTCTAGACAGGGTTTCTCTGTATTATTTTGGAGGCTGTCCTGGAACTCACTCTGTAGACCAGGCTGGCCTCAAACTCGCAGAGATCTGTCCACCTCTGCCTCCTGAGTGCTGGGATTAAAGGCATGCGCCGCCGCCACCACCACCACCACCCGTATCTGGACAGTTGTATCAGAGAATAATTAGGTAGATAATCCTTGAAACACAATGATGTGAGGTTCTTATCAGAATGGTTTGTCCTTTGTTGTTTTACTTAGCAAAACCTAAGTAATTCGGAGTCGTACCCTTTTATTGTGAGCATTCCTATTCCTTCCGCGGTCACTTGCAAGGTTATTTCTTTCTTTGTGGCATCATATTCTAAAAGTTAATGCTGCTGGGAAATGCATCACCTTCCTGGATGTGGCCTTGTTGTCTTTGTCTGTTTTGAATTTGTGACAGCTCCCTTCTGTGCTTTTAGATTTTCAGGGTGCTATCACCCTGCTCTGACGTGGAGTCCCGAGTGCAGGGCCCCTCTCATGGATCTGTTCTGCAGCTGCTTACGGTTCTCTAGTGTTCACCGTGTCTGCGGGATGCCTTTGTGCCCAAGGCTGTTTCCCACGTCCGTTTTCTCTTGCTGTGGTCGGGTTGTTCGCTGTGGCTTCAGGTGGTGTGCACCCCGCTTTCCCATTGCACTGCGCCGGGTTCACTTTTCTCCCAACTGCTCCTGTCTCTGAACACTGTCTTTCTGGAGTCTCTCAGAATGAGTTCCATTTGCTCCTTAGATGCTAGTGCACTGGCTACTTTTCCTGTGGCTGTGACAAAATCCCTGACGAGAGGCAGCTTAGGAAGGGCGGGCGGGCTTGTTTGGTACACAGGTCAAGAGGATGCCGTCCAGTCCGTCATAACAGGGGAGGCACAGCCGCTCACCTGCATCCCGGCTAGGGAGCAGAGAGTGATAAAGAACGCTGGAGCTCAACTCCCTTTCTGCTTTTATTCAGTCCAGGCCCCCAGCCTGTGGAATGGTAGCACCTGCATTTAGGGGTTGGGTCTTCCCACCTCTGTCTGCCTAGTATAGGAAAACCACAGACATCTCAGAGGTTTGTTTCTATGGTGGTTCTCAGTCCCCTCAAATTGGCAACCAAGATTTGTTACCACAGCTAATGACTGGTTTTCAATCATTCTTCACGCTTTTTTCCCCCCTCAGTATATGTTTTTATTTAAATTAGAAACATGCATGCTTCACAGGTCAATCCCAGCTCCCTCTCCCACCCCTCCTCCCTTGTCCCTCTACCAGCCCCCCCTTAGCCCCCCACCCAATCCCCACACCATTCCCCAGGGAGGGTGAGGCCCTCCTTGTGGGGATCTCCAGAGTCTGTCATTTCATTCAGGGCAGGGCCTAGGCCCTTCTCCATGTGTCCAGGCTGAGAGAGCCTCCCTCCATGTGGAATGGGCTCCCAGAGTTCATTTGTAAGCCATGGTAAACACTGGTCTACTACCGGAGGCCCCAGAGATTTCTGAGGCCTCCTCATTCTTCACACTTTTAACATTTAAAAATTCATCAGTTTTCACGTTTCTGTCCCTACACTGTTTTCCTTTCCAAAATGGCTTTTGCTACGAGGTTTTCTGGTTTGGTATTATAAGATGTCAACAATATAAAATGCTAGTAAACTAAGATGGACTAGTGTTAGAGGTTCCTACTGTAAGTTATGGACTTGGCACTCAATGCAGTTTGGAGGAGAGAGGTTCCTGGCTCTGTTAACCCTTTCGTCCCCAGGAAATTCCCCGTTCCCACTTCGTGCAGCACGTTAACACACTGTGTGCAAGTTAGCTAATTGAAGTTCTTTGACAATAGCGCTTTGTCCTCTGTTCTAGGGACTTCACTGTGACTTTGCTTGCCTGATCTTTCAGTACTTGGTCAACAAGCCCTCGGAAGAAAGGGTCAGGGAGATCATTACTGACGCCGTTAAGATCGAGCAGGTGAGTGCGGGGCTTTGATGCCGTCAGCTCATCCCACGACCATGCGTGTGAGTACAGTCTGTTTTGTATTGTTGGTTTCCCGTGCATGGACGTGCAGCCTGCGTGCATATCTGTGCCTCTATGCCTGCCTGCTGCCACAGAGTCCAGAGGACAACAGGTCTCCCGGAAGTGGAGTTGCATAGGGTTGTGAGGTACCGTGTGGGCGCTGGGAAGGGAACCCAGGCTCTCCACGAGAGCAGCCAGCGCTGTTAACCCTGAACAGCCTCTCCAGTCCCCGTAGCTTGTTTCTAAAAGACGTTTGGAAATAGCGCCTTATGGTCCCGTGTACACTAGCCTGGGACTCCCGGGCTAATGCAGTCCTTCCACCCGGCCCTCTGGGCGCTGTGTCACCGTGCCCAGAGACATTTGACAAATGAAGTTGCAATTTGCATGTCAGTGCCAACAAATTCACGTCATCTGGTTTGACAGTTACCTTACTTACCTTTAAATTGCTGGACAAAATGCCAGTTTACAAAAGGGAAATGTTTAATTTGGGGCTGAAGGTTGCAGAGTCCATGGCCATCATCACGGGGCACACGGCCGCAGGCAGGCGTGGTGCTGGAGCAGTAGCTAAGCCTGTGTTCTTATCTGAAGCAGGAGGCAGAGGGAGCTAACTGGGAATGGTGTGGGCTCTTGAAACCTCAAAGCTCACCCCCAGTGACACGCCTACTCTACAAGGCCACACCTCCTAGTCCTTCACAAACAGTTCCACCAGCTGGGGACCAAATATAAACATATGTGAGCCTATGGGGGCTGCTCTCATTCAAATACAGCAGTGCTGACACATAATGCATTGAAATTATTACCTCAGTTTATAATTTGATTAAAAGTCAGTCTTTATTATATATCAGGGTTTTCTGTATACCTGGTTTATTTCAGGGCTTTCTTTTTGTTTTAAATTAGTGAATTTAAATTATATATTCATATAATCATGTAGCTGTATATAATTTAAATTAGTTAAGTTATACTTAATTTATCTTTTAAACGTGATTCCATAATAAACATTTTAATCATTGTAGCTTCTTAGATTTATATTTTTAAGTACTAGAGGAGAATGTTAATTTTTGTTTTATCGTTTCAATGACTTAACAGGCTGCCCAGCTGAAGCAGAAACCAAAATTCACAAAATGAATCAGTAAAACTTAATCTATGGCATGCGTGTAAAGGCTTATGAATAGAAGCAGCCTGATAGTCTATTAAAATGTATTCTTATCACTCTAAGGAGCTTACTCAAAGATGAACTTTTCCTAGCTTGTTTTTGAGCAGTGTGTAGGTTACAGCATCTTTTCGCTCTGCGAGGGGGAAGGTGCATGTCTTTTGGCATCTTTTGCCGTCTTGAGGATGAATTTCATGGTTCACATGCTTTATTTTCTCTCTGTCAACACTCTACCACTGCCTTTCAGTACAATTGGATTTCAATATATCTCCCAGCTTCCAAATCCATGTCTATTCTCACACTGTCTGTAGCCGATGTCTTCTTCTTGGCTTCCTTTTGTGGTCCTGCTTTGAAGAAGTTTTCTCTGGATCCTTCAGGACAAAGCATCCCCATTTCTCGGTTGAGGAAATGTGGGAATCAGGTTATGTGCACATTACTCTAAAAGATCCAGTAATCTGCTATTTTTTATCTGACTTTGGCCCCTTGGGAAGTGAAACCTTACAATTAATAATACCCTGAACATCTGTAAACAGATGACCATTGTTTGCCATGTTAAATTTTTCCTGGCATACTTGCCTTGAGCAAAATCAGTGTCTAGGACATGAAGAAAACTAAATTCCTCTGTGTTTATCATCTTCTCTGTGGGAAACTGTCCACGGCTCAGAAGGCACAGTCTCTCACAGCCAGGAAGGTTCTATCAGGAGCTTAAAGCACAGCTTGTTCCACATTTGGCAGACCAGAAAGCAGAGTTGGATGGGAGGAAGTTCCTCAAACCTCACGCCTGGGGACCTATCTCTGCCCATCAGGTCTCAGCTCTAGAAGGTTCCATGACCTTTCTGAACAGTGGTACCACGCAGGGACCAAATGTTCAAATACACGAGCCTGTAGGGGACAGTTCAAATTCGAACCACAATACTCCATATTTGGGAAAGTATACTTACTTACTGTTATGTTTTTGTACCTTATTCTGATTTTGTTTGCATTCCAGGAGTTTTTAACAGAAGCCTTGCCAGTTGGCCTCATTGGAATGAACTGTGTTTTGATGAAACAGTATATTGAGTTTGTAGCTGACAGACTGCTTGTAGAACTTGGATTCTCAAAGGTAAACAAAGTGTTTTAAAACATGTCACTGCCTATCTTGGTTGCTGCTCTATTGCTGTGAGGAGACACCGTGCCCAAGGCCTCCTATGAAAGGAAGCACTTAATTGGGGGCTGGCTTATAGTTTCAGAGGGTGCGCCAGGGCCATCATGGAAGACAGACAGACAGGCAGGCACTAGAGCAGGAGCTGAGAGCTTACATCCTAGAGCAACTGGTGTGAGCCTCTGAAACCCTGAACACACCCCTCCTCCAACAGGGCCACACCTCCCATCCTTCCTAGGTGGCTCACCAGCACAGAAACAGACACTCAGATACAGGAGCCTCTGGATCCACCCTCATGAAAACCACCACACAGCCAATAGTGCCGTAGGCAAGCAAGGTCTCTAAAGTTCATTTTACTGACATCGTTTGTAATACACCAGTCTACTTTAAAACACCACTGGTAAAGTTGGATGCGTGATGTTGTCTGTAATTGTAACATTTCTAAGGCAGAAGGATTGCAAGGTTGTGGCCAGCCTGGGCTATGTGGTCTATCTCTGATGGGCAAGTAAATAAAATGTGTAGGACAGAGTCTTGTTCTGAAAAAAAAAGTGGTTTTGCTGAATCGTTTGAAACTTAAAATGGAATTGGTAGCAGCCGTTGGAAACCCTCAGTACTGTAGAGGATCAGGGTGGGTCTGCAGGTGTCTGGGCAGTGGGAGTCCTGCCCTCTGGTGTTTGTCACTTGGATTCTTCAGAATATCTAATGACATTTCCTTTCCTTCCAGGTTTTTCATGCAGAAAATCCCTTTGATTTTATGGAAAACATTTCATTAGAAGGGAAAACAAATTTCTTTGAGAAACGAGTTTCTGAGTATCAGCGTTTTGCAGTCATGGCGGAAACCACAGATAATGTCTTCACCTTGGATGCAGATTTTTAGAGCCCTCATTTAGAAAAATACCATAGAAGCCGGGTATGTTGGCACACGCCTTTAGTCCCAGCACTCAAGGGAAGCCAAGGCAGGTGGAGTTTGAAGACTGTCAGGGCTACATATAGAGATCTGTCTCAAAACCAAAATAGCAACAGCAAAAGGAAACTAACAAACAAAACCACATAGAAACCTGTTGTTGGTAAATAGCAATTTATTTTTCTGTCCTTTTGATACTTTGAGTATCTCATTTAAGGGCATGAGAGGTTGAATAGAAAGAAGTCTAAAACTAAATTCTAAACAACTGAATTATCTAAATGCACTTCAGTTTATTTATACAATGAGAATGTGACCTAAATGCCCTTTACTTCTTTGTGTGACCAATGGCAGATCAGTTAATCACTGTAAACTTCAGGGCACTTATCTGTAAAATTTCTATAATCGGAGGTCCCAGAAGGGTAAGTACACAGAAGTGAGTTTTACCTCCAGTACCTTGACTACTAAGGAATATTAATGATAAGATTAATTGCAGTGGCATTGTGATGCAGTATACTCCTCTCCAAATTAATTGTGATTCTAGGTTAGATGGAGATTTGGAATTCATTAGATTTTTGTGTTTTTAATGCTTGCAGGAAGAATATAAGAATATGAAACCCTTAGAGAGGTCACGATTCTCATCAACCTCTTTGGATTTCTCAATCTGCAATAAGAATGTAGCTTGTAATTGCTTAGGGTGGAATAGTAGAGCCCAGAAGTTACCACGGCTGTGGACCTTTGTAAGCAAAGGGATTCTTCTTCAGGAATTAAAAAGATAACCGTTGCCAGGTGCAGCCCTGGAATGTTCAGAACCAGGACAGATGTGCAGTTCCCAAAGCCTTGTAGGCTGTCCAGAGTGTTTGTGATAGAAGAAGAGATTTGGTGGTCAGCGGGTTTGGGAAATGCTGCACACTCCTTCCCTTCTGAGAGCGCACTTCCTCAGCACAGAGCTGGGGAGGTGCTCACCTGGCTGCCCACAGGTACTCAAAGAGCCTGGGGACACTCGCACAGCCAGGGAGGGCCCTGGTCACTTATACAGGCTGAAGAGGGAAGCAGCAGGGAGTATTGAGCCGTTTCAGATTTATGCCAATCTGAGAAAGCTATGTAAGGTTGACTTCATGAGTGTCTTTATACTTTTTAAAATCTCTTTACAATGTTACAAAGGAATGTTCTTTTAGGGAAGCTGCGTGTGCTGCAGAGTAGACGATGAGGGAGATGGAAGTCTGTAGGAAAGACGGGGAAAAGTCTAGGAGCCAGGGCACCTGGGCGGCGTGCACCTCCTCGTTTTCAGAGAGCATCGAGAGGAAGCCTGAGCCCCGCCAAACCCTGGTTCCCACTCAGTGAGGGCCGAGTCCAGATCCCTAGCCCCCACATGGAAACCATAGCAGCACACACTCATACATGCACACTCAAACGCCACACACGAAGTACAAATAAAAGTCTGGAAGCCGAAATTCAGAGATTCCTGTCTGTGTATAACTTTTTATTCCATTTGTTCTACAGCTATCTGAGTGTTCAAAACTAGGAATTCTAGAGGAATGCAAGAGAGGCAGGCGGCAATCCCATCGTTAGAGATGCTGTCAGAAATGAAATGTTCCCCCCCCCCCCGTCATGTCACCCAGCACCCTTCCAAGCATGACAGAACAGCTGTTACCAAAACACAGAGAGAGGGGTGAGGGGTCAGAGAAGCTGAAAAACTCAGCCAAGATTCCAGACACTGTCCTCATACTGTTTAAGTTTCATCCACTGGTTTATTTCGCCTGTTCCTTTATTAAAGTATCACATACTCCCACAGCATTCATGTTTATGATGCTTTACAGTGTCAAAATATCAAAGAGCCTGGGTTATCCAAGCAGTGTGTTTCAAGGTATTTATTTACTGTCATACAAAAAAAGTCTAAACATGAATCCTCTCCGATGAAAGAAAACAGTTTGACCAGTGCAGATTCTCAAAGTTTAAATCCAGATCTCCCTTGTGAGTAGTGACGGGTGCTTCTGCGTGATGCCAATAAGCAAACTGCATTTGGAAGAAGTCTTAACACTGAAAGACTGAGTTTTCAATACACTGTTACTATACTACATTCAGTATTCCATAGTCTTTCAATTCCCCAAGTTGCACATGTATTGATGTCCAGTATTTTGTTCTTAGATATGGAAGAATTAGGAAGTTACCAGGTGTCTTTAGTATCTCACAGGTAAAGAAAATTTAAGTTTATGGCTTTTCTGTCTGTCTGTCTCTGTCTGTCTGTCTGTCTGTCTCTCTCTTTATAGCACGTGTTTCAAAGAAATTCAGTTTATTGTAGAACTGTGCTTTTCTCTTTTAAGATAACAAACAACTTGGTTGTAACAGTAGTTTAAATACGTGTTTCAGCATGTAGGATCATGGTGTGGAGGAACTTTGGATGAATTTATCCCAGCACTTTATGTGGGACTGAATTTCAGTAGTAAGCAGTTATTTTTATGATGTAAACCACTCCCAGCCATGCCATTATTTGAACATGCTACAGTTGTCTCATTTTAAAATATCCAGATCATACTTCTCTTACTACTTCACTGTATTTCATTTCCCTTCTTGCAGTTCGCATCTCATCATTCAGTCTAGCCTGGGGTGCCCTCTTGAGCCTTCTGCTCCGGCCCCCAAATACTGGTGCTGTAGAGGTGGGTGCCACCATGCCCGGATGCCTCTTTATCTTTTGCTCATGGAGAAACGTGCATGTTCAAAAGTAACCTAATATTCAGAATCATGCATCTCCTAGACTCTCCAGGTTTACTTTTCACAGCTCAGCTGAGAGCCCAATGCCGCTTCATCGATAAAGAAACTGTTGGTGGCTGCATTGAGGCCTCGTTAGCTCTAAAGTCGAGTATCACGTTTTGAACTAATCGGGAGAGTCGGCAGCCGGCTCAGGCAGAACCTGGGGTGAACAACTCAGAAGTGAGATAGTCTGTATTTCTCATTGCCTTTCTGTAAACCATCTGCCCCGTCTTAAACCGCTCTGGGCCTGAAGGAGAATCTGATGTTCCTGAAGGCCTGGGGGAAAAAGATGTATGTAGTCCTTCAAGTTTGTGACTTAGCTCTGCTAAAGAGAACATGGAAAAAGGGAAGCTCACAGATGGCATTTTTTTCTTTTTTTGTCAAGAGAAGTTAAGTTCACAATACTTTAAACACGTATTTAACTATTTTACAACTTTGTTTTCCAAGTGTCTGGTCACTTAACAAAATTACTTAGCATCTACCATGTATGTAAAAAGCTTCATTAGACATGGTGTTTCTAAATATATTTTGTTGAAATACATTGTGGTCAATCAAACTGACCCTGCATGTAGAGATTCAGGGCTTTTTTTTTTTCTACCAAAAAAAAAAAACCTCATTACAGTTTTGTAATATTTGCTGCAATAAATTGTATCATTATATCATTTTGTGCAGTTTTTTATGGATAAAAGTTTTCTTTTTTTTATTGTTGCAGACTACCTCAATCCCAACCAAGGGGAGTGTTGAGTTTCTAATTGTGTGTGCAGGTTAGTGCATATTATCCGGTCTGTTCAGTGATTCAGCCACCACAGCTCTTACACTAATCATGACCCTCGGTCCTCTCTCTTGCCCTCTGTTTCTCTCATCTCTTTTCTCCTAGCTGGGTCTCTATCCAGTGGTTCTCAACCTGTGGCTTGGGACCCTCTTGGTAAACCTCTCCAGAAACAGTTACATTACAATTCGCAACAGTAGCAAGATCGTCGCAGTTAGGAAGTACCAACAAAAATAGTTTTATGGTTGGGGGTCAGCAAAACACGAGGCCACAGCATTGGGAAGGCTGAGAACCACTGTGTCTGTCACACTAATAACAGTAGCATAATTATCAATACCCTGAACTCTGTTCCTCTATGCTTTATTAAGTGCAGAAAGATCCAACAAGTCCCCTAACACTATCCCAGTGGAACAATCCTGTGTTTCTGTATTGTACACTGACAGTCAAATGCTACAAAGAGAAATCCCGTACAACGGGGCTGGTGAGCTAGCAGAGTAGACGGGATGCTTGCCAAGCGAGCCTGGCGACTGAATTAGATCCTTGGGACCTACGCAAAGGTGGAGGGAGAGGGCTGACTCCCTGGCGTTGGCCTCTGACCTCCACTACTGTCCTGCCATGTGCACCCCCACTCCCACACTTACACAATAAATAAGTCACCTAAAAAGTCACATTACAGGGCGAGCCAGATTGATTCTCCGTGAACTCATGATTGCCTGCGGTTGTCTGGCAAATCCACTCTCCGCTGTCTTAACTGGGGTCTCTGTGGCTGTTATAAAACACCACGACCAAAAGCAAGTTGGGGAGGAAAGGGTTTATCTGGTTTACGCCTTCACATCGCTGTTCATCACCTGCAGCAGGCTTTTGTGGGCCGCCAGCTCCCAAATTATGACAGAGAGACTTATTATTCACTATGAGAGTTTGGCTTTAGCTTAGGCTTGTTCCTAGTTAGTTCTTATAAGTCAAATTAATCCATTTCTAGCTATCTTAGTGCTGTCATGTGGCTCGTGGCTTTTACCTCTCCTGCATGTCCCCGCTTTCTCTGCATCCGGCTGGCAACTCCACCAACTTCCTAGAGTTCTCTCTGTCTCTTTCTCTGCCTGGAAGTCCCGCCTAGCTATTGGCCATTCAGCTTTGTATTAAACCGATCATAGTGACACAACTTCACATGGTGTAATCAAATACCTCATACAATCATCTAAGGAAGTCAGGATGGGAACTCAGACAGAGCAGGAGCCTGGAGGCAGGAGCTGATGCAGAGGCCATGGATGGGAACTGCTTACTGGCTTGCTCCCCATGGCTTGCTCAGCTCGCTTTCTTATAGAACCCAGGACCACCAGCCCAGGGATGGCACCACCCACAATGGACTGGACCCTCCTCCGTTGGTCACTAATTAAAACACCGTATAGGCTGGCCTACAGCCTGATCTTACAGATACGTTTTCTTGATTTAGATTCCCTCCTCTCGGATGATTTCAGTTTGTGTCAACTTTGCATAAAAATATCCAGCGCACCGACCATAGTTTCTCTGTGCCTTCTCCCCTCCCTGCCACTAGGATTCCCCCCTTCCCAAACTCCCGAGCTCCCGTCTTTGTGGATTCCTGACACAGATTAAACAAAAGTTAGCAGAAGATTTTGACACTATGGAAACCCTAAGTCTAGAACTTAAGACACAGAATTGGCTGCAGAATTCCGTCTAAACTGAAGACATGACTAAAGGGGAGGTTTTTAGGTGTAGACAGAACACGGCCAGCAGGCTGGACCTGGCCAGGATAGAAGCAGGAGCAGAGAGAGGGGAGAGGAATGGGGGGGGGGGAGCGAGTGGAGCAAGGAGGGAGAGGAAGGGAGGGGCGTGGCTGAAATGGCAGGGTTACCAGGAGAAGGGAAGCCTGTGACAGGGGAAGCTTAGGGCAGGAGAGGAGGTGAGGGCTGGGATGGGCTTTTGAGATGTGTAATAAGAACTTGTGTTGCCGGGGGCCTGGGGGCCAGCATGTACTTGTATGCTAATAGGCACCACAAATAGCCATTTGCCCCTCTGCCCTGTGGAATCCGAGGACATGGAGTTTCCTTTGGATGTAGCAAATTCAAGTTCCAAAGTTTAGTGTATGGTTTCCTCTGTGTAGTCATTATAATCAGAGAGTGGTGGGCTCGTACCCGGGCCTCATGGCCACGGAGTTCTGGAGTCTTCTGCTCTGTGTGTTCTCACTGTCTGAACACAGGGTTAGGAATGGGGTCCACCGGGGCTGCCCCTTACTCTCTGGCTTCCTATCTGAAACTGAAAGGAGAGGCTCACCTTTATCTGAGGGTAACAGTGAGGAAAGACTCCAAAACACCTCTGGAGGCCAGCTGTTTTCTTATTTGAGCATCCTTTCGCTATCAAGATGATAAATGCTTTTTGCAGAACATAGGTCAAGTTAAAATTTGCAGAAGGTAGATAAAGTTTCTTGATTTGCAACGAAAATGATCGTCATTTTATTTATTAAAATCAGTTCCTGGAAGAAAAAAAAGATTGGAAACAATCAAGGTTTATACTTCAGAAATGTTTTAGTTGAGCCTATCAGGAAGCAAATGATAATTCAAATTAGGGTAATTCTAGGAGGCAGGAAACCACAGAAGGTGTACAGTGCTTGGGGTTATGGGAATTGTAGGCAGGAAATCATAGGAGGTGTACAGGGGTTATGGGATTTGTAGGCTAGAAACCATAGGAGGTGTACAGTGCTTGGAGTTATGGGAGTTGTAGGCAGGAAACCACAGGAGGTGTACAATGCTTGGGGTTATGGGAATTGTAGGCAGGAAGCCACATTGGGGTTATGGGAGTTGTAGGCAGGAAACCACAGGAGGTGTACAGTGCTTGGGGCTTTGGTAGGAAACAGCGCAGAGTAGGGATGCTTCTCTTGCCTCTTGCCCAGCTAAAGAAGCTAACTGAAGGAGCATTTAT